TGCTTTTGTTTGGAGGAATGTGGACTTTGGGACTTGGGATTAGGAAAGCAGCTGAATGGTTTAAGTGGGGCTTAATGAGCCATACTGGTAGGAACATGGAAGACAGTGGTGCTGAGGGTGATTACAACTACGGAGGCCCAGTTCAAAAGGTTTCAGAGACCATTAGTATGTGGCCTAGAGACCACTGCGATATTTTGTAGAAGAATGTGGCTGCTTTCTGCCCTTGTCCAAAAAGTCTGCCTGAGGCTTACCTGAAAAGTCATTAACAGGTTTGGGAGAGATTTCAAAACAGCCTAGCATTGAGTGTGTTGTGTGGTTATTAGTGGCTAGTTTTATGCAGATTTATAATGAAAAGGAGGAAGCTGAGCAAGTTAAACTACAAAATGCACAGTTTGAGGAGAAAAGGGACACCAGGAATTGTAATGGTCCTTGTGCTTCAAGGAGATTAAAAGAAAAGCAAGGTCCTAAATAGAATAAAGAAGGTAGTGGTGAGCTCAGCGCAAAACTCCACCCAACCCGTGAAAAGGAATCAGACAAAAGTGAAAAGGAATTGGTGGTTTATACATTTAATCCCAGCACTCAGGAGGCAGATGCAGGCAGATCCCTGAGTTCAAGGCCAGCCTGGTCTACAGAGATAGTTCCAGGGCAGCCAAGCTTACACAAGTGAAGGAAACCATGGAAAACAGAAACCTGGTGAAAATGTATTTGAACAAGGGGACCATGTTCCAGCCCCAGCAAGTATTAGAACCTGGCATAGGACCCAAAATAAGACAAAGATACAGAAATCCATTAAAGTGATTAAAATGCTACAGAGTCTATAATAGCTCAACAAAACTAAACAACAATGTAAATCAATACAAAATGATACTAGGCATCTTTTAAAAATGCAGGAATCCACCAAGTTGATAAAAATGCTAGAGGAGTCTGCAATACACCCAAGTCAACGATAAAGAAAAAGCAGGCTTTTTTGAGATTGGGTGCTCAATCAAGTATCCATATTACTCTTTGTATTCAGCAGCATAACCTTGATTTTTCAGTAATTCTAATTTAGTAACTGTATTTCTATATTTTAACAACAAACTAAACAGACGTCAGCAGTCTAAAGCTTGAACCAATTTTAAAACCAAAGAGCTAAACATACAGGCTCAAACAATCTTCTCAAGTTTAACATCTGATGCTGCAGCCTATCTATTTAAGGAATGAGGTAATGCTTTACAAAGCTGCGGTCCAAGGACGACAAGGCTCGGGGGAGTGGGAGTCAAGAGAATGAGTTCAAACAAGTGTAAGCGCCACTGAGCTCGATGTAATCACCACTACAAGCACACATCAAAGACACCTGCAATCTCAGATCATCGATACTGTAAACCACAAGAAGGCTACAAGAAAAGAAGACGAATGTGAAGAGATACACGCTCAACAGCGGACTCAGCCGTTTGCAGCTATTTCAGCCAAGGCCAGGAATGAGCTACGCATTTGAGAACATAGTATCTACCGCACCAGAGCACTGCGCCAGCTGGTGAACAAAGACAAGATTGCAGCGCCCAGCGTCGGCTTAAAGAAATCAGGAGTTGGTATCTTCCTAAATAGACCTTAAATTCTTCTGCTCTGCATACTCTCAGCAAAAGCGCCAGAAAGGCGAATGAGGTTTTTCAGTCACTCAAGCTTACGTTGGGCTTTGTCCTCCTGAAAAACAGAATCGGAGTCAACAAACGGAAACATCCCTACAGCCTCCTTCCATGTGTGTTCTCTACCAAGTACAGCTCACGGAACCAAAAAGCAACCAGAAGCGGCGTTCCCATGCTTACCGGTCTATCAGAGGTCATAATCTAATGAATAAATAAAAATCTGCCCACCGTCTCCGCCGTTAAAACGTGCTTTTCATAAGCCACCTTTCGACGACGTGCCGCAGTTCCACGGATACGCCACATATCAAAGGCAGAACAAAGAGATACTCTAGGTAACAGCGGCGCCTAGGGCCCTTAGGACACGGTTATTTGCAGGGATCTGTTTTTTTTTACCCTAAATTAGCAGGGGTGGGAGGATTTTGTCGAGTAGTGCCACCTGGTTGACAACGGAGGCGGGGCGGGAAGCCTCCCTCTGCGGGCTTCGGGATCTTACCGCACCGTAACCGCCCGCACTCCGAATGCTCGGGGGCTTCACAGAGAACTGGAGCAGACCGGTTACACAACGGCCCCGGGAGGCCCACCGCCCGCCCGCCCGCCCGCCAGGAGTCCACGCAGAGTGGGCCTCGGAAGCCCCGTGGCAGAGCAGGCCTGCAGCCAAGGCGACAGGCCCGGCCGCCCCGCCCCGCCCGCGACCCCGCGCAGCCCGCACCTGCTTTCTCATGTTGTTCATGACACCCATGAAACCCGCGAGCAGCTTGGCTTCTTCCCGAGCTGCAAGCTTCTTCTCGGTCTTCTTTTTGCTCTTCTCCACGCCAGAGGTGGCCATCCTCCTCTTGCCCTCCGCGGTTTCGCGACGAGGGTGTGCTCGCCAGACGCGTCGGCCGGGAGCACGGCGTTGGCGGCGGATCGCCGAGGACCGCCGGACCGCCGAAGGAGGACGGAGCTCCTCGGAGAATAGCCGACCAGGCGACGGCAGGTCCGCCACGGTTGCAAGTAAAGGGAACCCGGGAATAGCAAGCATGCGCACTGGGCGCCAGGATAAAGAGGGGAGGGGAGGGGCGAGACTGGAAGCGAAGACGCGGAGGGGGTGGCGAGGCCCGTGCGTCACAGCCACGCAAGGCTCCCAGCAACTGGCTGTGTCGTGCCGAGTGGTGGGTGTTGCCGCTTTTTCCTCTGGCCACTGAGTGGCGGTTGCATCGGTCTGATCCAAGGTCACATGGACCTTTCTTCTGCCAAAGGCGGAGTCTCCAGGTTTAGATGTCGTGATGATCTATTTTGGATGATTGTGTGATAGAACATGCTAAAAATGCCTGCCCATGGTGTAAGCTCCTCGAAAACAGTCAGCTCTTCACTGCAGCGTCGAGTGTGGCGTATTGTGGGCGCTCAGTAACTGCTAAATGATTAAAGAAATCATTTTGCAAGGCAAAAGCTCATTTATCCCGAGCACAAGAACTGCGCGTTTGGGATTCAGAAGCAAGAACACAGCCCTGTGCATGTCTCCTTAGCATGATATGCCTGCCTGTTTAGTAGGCTGTTTTACTCTCATTAAAACAGAAATCAGGCAGGACGGTGGTGGTGCATGCCCTTAATCACAGCACTTGGGAGGCCAAGGCAGGTGGATCTCTGTGAGAAACCCTGTCTCTTAAAAAAAAACAGAGATCAAGTGTCGGTTTCAGAAGGCTTCAATTAAGCTTCCTAGAACTCATGGAAACGTGTTTCATAACTAGAGTTTTTATTTTGCTGTTTAGGAATATACAGGATTGTCTGAAATTGCTATTTCTAATAATGGAAACATTCTACATAACCTCTCAGTTTTCTACCTAGATGTATAAGGGACTAGATGTAAGTGTTGGAACTCAGATGGAAAGGTATCCAGGCAGTAAGGAGCCAAGGAATACCTCAGTCTCTGTAAGCGTGATAGTTTGCATCTCTGCTCCAGGAAAAGGTTTCCCCAGTATAAATGTAACAACTCTGCTCCAGCAGGGGAGGGTGTCCCCAGAGGAATTGTTACACTTCTGTTCTGGAAAAGTGTCACAGCTCTGCTCAGTCCGGGAGACTGTAACAACTCTGCCCAGCTGGGGCAAAGTTTCCCCAGCTGAAGTGGTACATTTCTGCTGCAGTCTGGCTCCTGTGAAAAACTTTAACATCTGGGCTCCAGTCCGTGAAAACGGCACACCTGGCAAAAAAAAACCTCACTCAAGAGATTTATTGGGAAGGAAAAATCCAGGAGGGTGACTGACTCGAGGGTGAGAAGCAGCAGCACACTGGCCAGGGTACAGAGCTTATATACAAGGTTTGGGGGCAGTTTTCCAGGGTGACTTGGGACTGGTAGATTTTTGTAGTCTGAATCTGGGGCAAGCTCAGGTATTTGTGGGATTTCAAGTCCTGGTCCTAGGGTCGGTCAAGTCAGGGTCAGGGTGTTTTTCCTCTACCCAGGTCTCAGGTCTAGCCAGGGGCAGGGTGTTTTTTCCTTGGCCCCTTTCACCCTACACTAGACAGAGAAGTTTTATGTAAAATGAACTAGACTGTTCAGTCATGAACAGTAACTGCTTAAAAGAAAATTAAATAAATTCTTCTAAGCTTTATAGGAGCAGCTATGGCCTAAAAACAGGGAGTCAACTTCTCCTGGATAACATGTTCCACTATAAAAGAGATTATATAAATCAACAAAGGAACGTTAAAAAAACCAAGGCATTTACCAAACGCACTGGTGGGAGCATCGGGTAGGTGGACTACAGCACAATGGGAAATCCCTTGTGTAGGTTTTAGACTTCCTTTTTTAAACAAGCTCTCTGCCACACACTTTGTGTGTAGGAGTGTTTGTTGGATTCTGTGTGCCATTTGAGTGCAGTGCCCATGACCATGGCTAGAAGAGAGCATCTGATCCTCTAGGATTGAAGTATGGGGGGCGGGGGAGCCTCTGCTTAGGTGCTGGGAATTGAATCCAAGTCCTCTAGAGGAGCAGCCAGTTCTCTTAAGCATTAAGCCATCTCTCCAGCCCCCTTTCACCATTCATTTTAAAGAATTTTTTATTATTTAGAATAATTTTTAAATTTAAATATACTCATCCAACTTTAAGTTCTTTCTCAAAAACAAACAAACAAAACAAAACAGAAAATCCAATACTATAACAACAAAAACCCCAAAATCAAGAAAGCAAAATAAAACAATACCCAAAAAGATACAAACACCAACTGTAACCAAATAAAAGCACCACACACACACACAACTGTGGAATCCATTGTATGTTGGTCAACTATTCCTGAACATGAGACCTGCACTGGAGTGACTGATATATCTAGTGTCACTCCGTTGGAAAAAAACAAACTTTGCCTCTCCCAGCAAGTATAAATGACATTCAGTTCTTAACCTTTACCCTACTCAATTTACCAATGCTCAATTTCCATTCTTTCATTCATTCATTTAAAAAAAATAACAAAATAAAATATAATAAGATAAAAAAAAGACCATCACATCCAAGTTGAACAGGACAAACCAACGGAAGGAAAGAGCCCATGATAAGGCACAAGAGTTGGAGACCCACTTGTTGGCACACTCAGGAATCCCATAAAAACTCTAAACTGGAAGCCATAATATGTACACCGAGAACCTGGTGCAGACTCAGGCAGGTCCTGGGCATGCTGCTTCAGTCAGTCTCTGAATTAGTATGAGCTTTGCTCAGATTGATTTAGAGGGCTTTGCTTTCTTGGTGTCCTCCATCCCCTCTGGCTCTTACTTTTTCTTTCTTCTTCTTCTCCTCCTCCTCCTCCTCCTTCTCCTCCTCCTTCTTCTCCTTCTTCTCCTTCTCCTTATTCTTTTTTCCCCTACTTCCTCCTTTACAGAGTTCTCTGAGCTCTGAGGAAAGGGATTTCATTTAGGACTGAGTGTTCCAAGCCTCACTCTCTACGTGGTGTCTGGCTGTGGGTCTCTATATTTGTTCCCATCTGCTGCAGGAGGAAGCTTCTCTGATGATGGCTGAACAAGGCACTGATCTGTGAGTATAGCAGAATGTCATTAGGAGTCATTTCATCCCTACACTTTTTTCCTTCTTTTTTAAGACTAGCATTATTTGGTTGGTGACTCCCACAAGCTTTGTGCCACCATTGCCCTAGCATGTCTTGCAGGCAGGACACCATTGTAG